GTTGCCGGCAGCGGGCCAAACAAGTCGACGCCCCACCTATAGAACAGGCCACATATGGGGAGGCTCTGGAGGTTTGGGGTGCGGACGTTGAAGGTGGCGCGCGCGCGCGCGCAGAGATCGCAGCGCCGCAGCTCATGGCGTACGTCAGTGACCATGCCATGCCACCAGAAAGAGGTGAGCAGCAGGGCGTGCGTTCTGCGCGAGCCGTAGTGGCCAGTTTTTGCGTGAGCTTCGCGGACTAGTGAGCGACGGTCGGCCGGTGCAGGTACAACCCGCGTGGCCCCGTCCGGCATGCGGTACCAAAGTTTGCCCTCCTTCCAAGCATAGTATTGCAAGCGCTTGTGCACCCGCGTGCGCAGGGCCGCGTTTGCCCCTGGCACGTGTTCACCGTTTTGCAGGTAGTGAAGCGCTGCGGCGTCCTCCCAGATGTCTCGGCCCCCGTGGGTGGCGACTGCCGCGTCGGCCACATCGACGTTAACTGCCAGCCGAAGCATGCCGGCGTAAGAAAGGGCTGGAGGGGGCCCTCCCCTCCCTTCACCGCCACAGTTGTTGGCTGCCCTTGGTGAGGCGCCGGAACTGCGAGATGGAGAGTCACTGGTGGTTGCAGGGTGAGAGCCCTGCCCACAGCTGCTAGGCGGGCTTGATGTTGAGCCCTGCGTTGCACCGCACGTGAAGACGCTGCGTGCCCTAGACCCGAGCCAAGGGGAAGGGCGCTGTGGTTGCAGATGGGTGCGCGGCTCGGCCTGACCAGGGCTGAGCTGCGCGGCCTGAAGGGCTGCCCCCCCAGACGCGGGCGCCGTTGCATTGGTCAGATGCTTGGGCGCCGCCTGCCCACTGCGAGGCCCGACTGCCCCATCAGAGCAGTCAGTCGGCCCCCGGCGATAAGCTTGCATTGGCGTTGGCGATAGCGATAGCGAAAGCGTTGCAGACTCCACAGCGATGCGATTGCACCGTTGCGCTGCCCCCCAGGCCATACCGATTGCCAGGATGGACTGGAGGCAGTTGGCGTCCATGCAGCGCCCCAGCACCTCCCGGCGACGTGCCTCGGACACGCCGGGGGCGGCGGTGGAGCTTGTGGCGTAGCCCATGGCGCGTTCGCGCTCATCTGCGTTGGGCTCGTCCCAGCATTGCGTGTTGGTGTCAAAGACAGCCCCCCGCCCCTCAGGGCGGAAAGCGTAAGAGCGGTGGCGTGAGACTAGGGTTGGCAGGGCTGAAAGCGGCTGCCCCGGCACGTTGCACTGATACCAAGGTGACCGTTCCCGCCCTTGAGCAGGACCCACAGTCCTCCCGCTATCTAGGATGGCTTGCACTGTCAGACCCGGCGGGCGCTGCACCTCCAGACTAACCGCGCCCAGCACAGCCGGTGGCAGCAGGTTGGTCCAGAAGTTGCGCAGTCGGTGGGCGTAGCTGCCGAACCGCGCCGCGTCGAGGAGCACTGCGGGGCCCAGTATTTGGCAGACTTGCTCAAATTGCCGGCGAATGCGGGCGTCAGGGTGCAGTTGGAACGATGTGTTCTCTATCAGGAAGGCAGGTGGGCATGCGGGCTGCGCCAGCTGGAGAGCTCTCAGGACTCTAACCAACTGAAACAGCGACCTAGAACGCGCACCCTCCAGGCCAGCCCCGCCCCCCGCGTTGGACAGATCTTGGCACTCCCAGCCCGCGACCACCAACCACGGCCCCGGGGCCTGCCGCACAGCAGCTTGGATGGCCTCAGGTGTTGTGGCGTAGATGTCTTGGGGAAGGGTGACGAAGGCGTCGTCGCAGGCGGTGGGTGAAAGCTGAGCTGGGTAGAGCGCTGCCAGGCTTTGCAGGCGGAAGCGAGCGACCTTCTGGGCGACGGCGGCAGTGTCGGCGTAGATGTACCGTCCGACTTTGACGCCGGCGCGCAGCGCTGCTTCTAGGCCCGCGCACAGGCCCCCAAAGGGCTCATAGACGGTGATGCCGTCGCTGGTGGCTCCTGCGAAAAAGGCGGGGCTTGCGGGGGCTGTGTTGAGCTGGAGTGTATCGTCCGGCGCTTGCACCCCCCCCAGCGTGAGGGGCGTCCCACCCAGCGGATGGGCCGGAGGTGGGAGCCCCTTGCGCTGAGCGGCCATAAGCCATCCAGCGGCGCGCTGTGCTAAGGCTTGCGAATGCTTGCGGCGGCGGGCCAAATCTGGCAGAACGCGCGCCACGACAGCAGCGGCAGTTGCTGCATTCAGAGTGACGGCCCCCTCTGTGTGATTGCCCCCCATTAGGTCGTATGCGTGGGGGATGTGATCATCGATCGGGTTGTGCGGGCCAGGCAGTGTCAGCACAGCTTCCAAACTGCAGGCAGCCAGTGTTGGCCAAGCAACCCCGTCCGCAGGGTACAAAGCAAGGACAGCCGCTACACCCACTGGGCATGACTGCAGCTCTGCCTCCCATTGGCTGGGGTCCTCTATGCTATCAAGCGTGGGCTGCCAAAACGTACCGTCAGGCATGAGGACGCGAGGAAGCTCGCGGGGCACAGGCTGACCCTCAAGGTCAATCTGCGCGCCAGACACATCGAGGGTGGAGGATTGTGGGAAGCGGCTGAGCGCGTCAGCGTTAAGGTGCTTCTTGCCAGCCCTGTGCACAATGTCGAAGGAAAATCCTTGCAGCATGTGCACCCAACGCCACGATGTGTCATCCCCTGTCCTGGCCTCCTTCAGCAAGTGCAGCAGCGGGCGATGGTCAGTGACCAGCAAGAAGTGCGTGCCCTGCAGGTACGGCTTGAATTGTGCCAGCACCCAGGTGGCTGCCAGCGCCTCCCCCTTCCAAGGAGTGTAGCGCCGCTCGTGCTCATTGCAGCTCCTGCTGACGCAGGCCACTATGTATTCCTTACCAGCGTCGTCCAGCTGCCCCAGCACCCCCCCAATGCCGAGCTGGCTCCAGTCTGTATGGACAATGAAGGGCTTGTCGGGGTCGGGGTGGCGCAGGGCGTTGCCGGGCTTGGCGATCTCTGCTTTGAGTTGTTCAAAAGCGGCGATGGCCGCAGGGGACATGTTAAATGAGACGTCTTTGCGCAAGAGTGCGTGCAAGGGTGCTGCTATGGTGCTGTAGTCGGGGCAGTACACCCGATAGTAATTGAGCACCCCCAGGGCTGTTTGAAGCTCCTTGAGATTTCTAGGTACAGGCAGGCTCATCATGGCGGCGACCTTGGCCTCGTCAGGCTTGCGCCCATCGGGGGTGATGTAG